ATGGACATTCCACCAAGTTATGAGCAGCAACAACATAAATTTAAATAAAACATATATTGAGCAGTGGCGAACCGTCATGGCCTTCAAGGTATTCAGAGAATACCCTGGAACACTCAGATAAAACAAACAAAAAATCGATTTAATTATATAAATAAAATGTAATAAAATGTAATAAAATGTATAGAAAATGAATAAATGAGAATCGTATCTGTGTTGTTGATCTGTAATATTACAGTGTTACGTTGATTTGTTTGTCCTTCTCGAACCATGCTCTACGCATTTCAGTGGTTTTGTGTTAGAAAAGAAAGCAACCAATCAGATCTTGTTCTGGGTCTCTGGGTAGAATATCCTTCAACCAAGGTATTCTATATCCTTGATAGAATGCCCTGGCCGTTGCACTGAATGAGAGCGTACGTTTGGACTGACAGTTTGATCAACCAATCATATATTGATTTGTAGCCAATGGGCGTATTCTTTCAGAGTTCCCCTCGGTTCCAGGGTACTCTAGAAGGCCCGGTAGTTCACTGGCTCGAGACAGAGGATCTAGATTAATGCGACGAAGCAATTCATGCCATTTTATTGTTTTTAACGTTGAAATGACAAGTGCAACAGGTGAAGATTAAGTTGTTGCGGAATTGTGAGTACCCTTTTCAAGACGACAATTCAGTGAAAAGACGGACATTATAATGCCGCGAAGGGGGGGGGGGTGTGTGTGTCTACAGAAGGTCCAGTTGTGATAGACACGGTTCGCCACTGATATTGAGTAATACACTTGAGGTCAAGATTATATCATTTCACCCATAATGACAATGATAACAATTTGGGCTAATGGTAGAATGACGATATGCCTTCAACCCCTGATACAGTACTGCTTTTCAGCAAAAGCCCAAATTAACATCACATCTCTTGACTGTTAACAATGATTCCTGTTTCTTTATACATTTGTTTTGATTACTCTATGTATCCAGCAACCCTTTATTGTCTTGATGTCTCTATTTCAATGTCTTTCTCTACAAATTAAACTTTTCATAAATGTTGTTTATGTTTTTTTTTTTACTTTTCTTATGTGACCAGTAGTTGTGAAACAGATTAGGCATGTTTTGCGCTCATGAGAAAATGTAGTAGACTATAAGTATACCTGAACATGTACGTATACTAAGTATACTACGTTTACTCAAGAGTGGCATCTTCACATTACCAAGAGCTGAGGAAAGGGACTTAAAATGTTGTTCCAGTGCTTGTCTGAGTTGTGAATATGTCTAGGCTGGAAATGCCTGGAATTTAAAGTATAGCCAAATACCCTGAATGCATTGTTATGCCTTCAACCTACTGCTGGCATCCTCAATAATTCAGAAACCCCCCACCTGTCCATCAGCAGATACTTGCACTTTGAGCCGGGTACATGGGGTACCATGTTATGTGCAGGTTGGAGAAACACAGGAGGATCTGCATGAAATCATAATCCTGACACTTCCAGATCTGTTTTCTTGGGTTGAAAAATCTATCCAGGGGTCCATTCACTATTTATCATTCCCTGACAGGTGGTGTATACATTTCAATGCCTTTCCTCTGTGCTTTGGAGACAGCCCGTCTGTTCTTTCCTCAAAACATTTTCATATGTTCTACCCTGGTTGGAAAACAGCATTGTTGGAGGTGTAAAGGTTGAAGTGAAATCACTGTGACAATGCCATAACTTTGAAGAAATATGGTTATAGTAATGTGTTTTAAATCTTGCAATGAAATGTCAATCTAAATTCATCCTATTGTGGTTTTATCAGCTGTAAATGAAGGATGTAAAATCTTGCATAATGAACTGCCACTTGATATGTAAATCTTGCTGCTAATTGAGGGATCACAATCAACTTAAATATAAGAGTTTACAATTCAGCTTATACTTTGGTGACACTTATTTTATTGTTTTGGTTGTGTTAAGCAGGTATTAAAAATGGCAAACGGGATACATGGTGACGCTTGTTATGCTAATCAAACAAGTGATGCTTGTTTGATTGAGCCCACAAACTAACCTTGATGTTTTCAGACTAAAACTGTAATACACAGTGGCTATCATTGTAATTATTGAAGATTACTCAGCTGCCAAGTTGTAAGAGCACAGCTGCAGAGTTGAAACCAAGCAATATGCCCAACAAAAAAAGGTTGACATATTCTTCAATACCCAGGTTCAATGACACACTTTTTATGTCCGTGACAACATTTTAAATATTATTATTTAGTTGGAACAAAATCCAGACCATAGATAATAAAATGGTAATTTCAGTTCTGCTTTGTGAGAAAATGTCAGATGTTCTGCATGCCGACCAACCCCCCAGTCTTTTCTGACACACTACATCAGGAACACTGACATCAATTGTGAGGGGCAGGATGAATGCTGGGGTTATTTGGCTGCTGTAAAAAGCACAATGGGCTTCATTACTTTAATATAAAAGTGCTTAAGTTGGCTTCCAGCTACAGAGCAGGTACCTGTGCCATTTTGTTAAAGTTGTACGGTTAAAAGTCATTTTAAAACTAGACAAGGTGGACCAGATGCCAACCTGCCACATGTAGGACAATAACATTTATATTGATCCATAAGCGTATAAATAAAGTATTGTATGTAGTCTGTTGCTTAAAATCATATTCACCTCCATGCGCGATTGAAATAAAAACTCTAGTAAATGGCACAAAAAGCTCTGTAGGAATTGCCCTTCACCAGCTGCACATATGAGTAAATATTCATTTTCTTTGTCGTAGTTTTCACTATATTCCACCAAAAAAGTGCATCCCGGTGGCTTGTGCTGTTTTGTGCCAGTAGGGCGTTATGTAGGCGACGAGAATGGTGACAGGTGGGCAAGCCCTTGACCCCACCCACGCGTGTGTTTATTGATTGACATCCAATCAACTTCTGGACATTTATTATGTTATTAAAATGCTGAGCAGTCCGGCACAAAGCGGGTCACCGTGTCACCATAAGACTTGGCTGTAAAGTGAATTTAAAGGAAACATTTCTAACTGTTGGTGGCAGTTTAAGATACAGTGTAGAATTCTGTATGAATGTAGGTCAACTTTGTAGAGTAGGCCAATTGGTGTGTAGACACTAATCCGTCCAGCTGACAACAACCACTAGAGTACTGTGGGATCTTACAGAGGAGATCAGGTGGAGAGAAAAAAGGGTCTAAACCAGTGGTTCTCAACTGGTCCGGCCTCGGGACCCACTTTTTACTTGGTCAATACATCGCGACCCAACATTTTGAAGCACTCAAATCTATTCAACAAAAACTCGTGCTGTAATATATACGCTTTTGAGCATACAATATTAATAAAAGTGAAGTACAGTGCATATATCCCTTATATCCCTTCACAGAACTAAAGTATTCTTTTAAAAAAGGTTTAATGAGACGATGGAATCAAAGCTGAACTATATAAAAAGGCACACATGCTGAAACCCAACCCCAGCAGGGGGGTCTGGGGGGATTCTCCCCCAGGAGATTTTTTGAAATACTAACATAAACTACGCATTCTGGTACACTCTGAGAAGAAAATCGGGCCTTCAAAATAAAAGTTTGAGTTTCCCCCCCCCAAAAAAAAAAAAAAAATTCCAATCTTTTTTTTCAACTTTTTTTTCTTCACTCACACATCCGCGACCCACTCGAAACGGGTCCGCGACCCACTTTTGGGTCGCGACCCACCAGTTGAGAACCACTGGTCTAAACAGCCCTATTTTTAAAGGTCACCTATTATGCAAAATCCAGTTCTCCATGTCTTTTATACATAAACACGTGTCCCCTCTGTGTAAAGAGATTCTGAAAGTTTCAGGAAAAAATATTTTCTCTCTTTTCGTCCTGATCCATTTATATAAACCTGTCTGAAAATGAGCTGATCAGTGTTTGGCCACTTTATGATGTCATAACGATTTTTTGGCTTGTGTAACCATTAGTCAATAACCAACCAAGGTAACCCCCCCCCCACCTTATCACCTGAATCTCCTCCTAGAGCACCATTGTGTTCTTTTTAACCACATATCTCTCAGAGGGGCGTGGGGAGGGGCTCCTTATTTTCATCTAAAGTAACAGACAGAGAATCAGCACTTTTGAAACAGGGCTGAAACAGAGGGGTTTATGGGATGCATGATCTGTTTGGTATTTCGAGCCAAACACTTCAGAGACATGTTTTGGGGGGATTCTCCCCCAGGAGATTTTTTGAAATACTAACATAAACTACGCATTCTGGTACACTCTGAGAAGAAAATCGGGCCTTCAAAATAAAAGTTTGAGTTTCCCCCCCCAAAAAAAAAAAAAAAATTCCAATCTTTTTTTTCAACTTTTTTTTCTTCACTCACACATCCGCGACCCACTCGAAACGGGTCCGCGACCCACTTTTGGGTCGCGACCCACCAGTTGAGAACCACTGGTCTAAACAGCCCTATTTTTAAAGGTCACCTATTATGCAAAATCCAGTTCTCCATGTCTTTTATACATAAACACGTGTCCCCTCTGTGTAAAGAGATTCTGAAAGTTTCAGGAAAAAATATTTTCTCTCTTTTCGTCCTGATCCATTTATATAAACCTGTCTGAAAATGAGCTGATCAGTGTTTGGCCACTTTATGATGTCATAACGATTTTTTGGCTTGTGTAACCATTAGTCAATAACCAACCAAGGTAACCCCCCCCCCACCTTATCACCTGAATCTCCTCCTAGAGCACCATTGTGTTCTTTTTAACCACATATCTCTCAGAGGGGCGTGGGGAGGGGCTCCTTATTTTCATCTAAAGTAACAGACAGAGAATCAGCACTTTTGAAACAGGGCTGAAACAGAGGGGTTTATGGGATGCATGATCTGTTTGGTATTTCGAGCCAAACACTTCAGAGACATGTTTTGTATATTTCTGAGACCTATAATATGTTGTTGAAAAACAGTATACTAGGGGATTAAGTAACTTGGTTCACTTGATTTCGGGAGAGAACAATCTATTTCTGATCAAGTCTTTGTCCTTTGCTTGACCCAGTTCTACAGATGTTTCCAAGCCCTGCTGCGATGTAAGGTTCCTCGACGAGGCTCCAGCGTAAAGAGCTCCTCCAAGGTCGCCACCAAGGCCATGAGGGGGATCGCAATCACTGGTACCCGCCGCACCAATGACTTCTTGTTTATGGTGGCTTCCCTGGGCCATCCGGCGGGCTCCGGGCCCCAACTGGGACCGCTTGTGGAGCCAACCGTTGACATCACCAAAGCCTCTTCTTCAGACATCAACAGACATGTCGAAGTGTCGATTGCCAGTGATTGGCTATAACCACGAATTCCCAAAGTTTCCAGGCTGGAAGAGAAATCATGAGAGAGATGATGTTACTGATGCATGGAGAGGCGTATCCGACCAAATCAGGTGGATTTATTGCAGCTGTTGTATCAGCTTTATGACAGCTTAGAGATGGAATGGACCGGTAACAGAGGCAAATCTTGTTCAAATCTTGGTCGATATATAAAACCAGCCGGAGCTTAGAGATCTCTGCAGATAAAAAGGAAACATGGTCTTTTCTAGGCATTTTAAGGATTTCTTATCACATGTTTGCATAAAGCACTGTCAGACTGTTATGGTAGGAGAAAAGGATTTATAGGGATCATTTTGTGTGCAATATCTATGTTCGGTAAAGAATTTACTATGACATGAGAGAAATGTACTCAGAAGAAGTTCAGAAGGGATAAGATGTATTTTTGTATTGATTGGTTATTGATGGTAGCAGTGGTTACAAAGTGAGGTAGAAAGAACACATGTTGTTTGTCATCTTAAGCATTTCAAAGTCTTTCCTAAGGTAGACAACATTATGAAATATTTGAGCAATGAGAATGTACTTGAATTGTTTTTTTAAGTATAAGTGTTTTAGCTTTTTATTCATTGCCCGTCATTTTCCTTTTAATTCATCACTTGTCACTTTAAATTGCATAAATAATCTTTTGATGAACTGGTTAAATGTGTGGTTCATTGGAAGTAGCATTGCTAGCATGCTAAGGGCATTAACTTTCACCAGGAATATTGACCTAGGGTTAGTGAAATAGGTGCATGTTGGAGAGTTACTGTATAGTTCCTTCAATAATGACGTGCATGTGCACTGTTGCAGGATGCAATTGAGGTTGGAAATATACAGTGTCACGTAATGTTCAGTGGTTAGCACTAATACAGATACTAAACATGCTTTTCTGGACTGATACACACATTTTGAGGGCTGTTATATCTTTTATGTTACTTTTGTGACCAAACCCCAAAGCGCAGGGTGTACTATGTGTTGAAGAACTGGTTCACAGACTATTTAACAATGATTAGCAGATCAGTGCCTTGCTCATTGGCACACAGTCAGGCTTTGAAAAAATAAAGTATAAAAGACAATCCTGACCAATATAAATTATTTTCTAGTGTTGCAAAATAAAACACTTTACTCGAGTCAACAAAATGCTTTGGATGGAATCATTTTGTTCTGTATGTGCTTCTGTCTGTCTGCAAAACTCATTTGACACTTTTCCCTTTTGCAATACAAAGATATTTGAAGTTTTTTAAAGCTGTGTTGTCAGTGAATGTCTAAGCTATCAGTGGTGTGGTACTTTTTCGCTACTGCCTAATTAGTGTGTGCGATTTACTGGTAATCCACTTTTAGCAAACTGTTTTCTCTGTGCTGTCAAGACCTTGTATACATTGTTGTACATGAGTTGATACCAAAGCTATAAAACTTGTGATATGTTTTGGAGGAGAGCTGTTCAATAAAGGTTTTTGTATCTAAATCAATGGTGTGCTTTATTTTGATGAAAATCTATTTAAAAAAAAATAAAGGTTGTTATTAAAGAAGTATTTAAGTTTGGTTTGCTGTACAGAGTGTACCAAGTAATAAGGGTAAATAATGTCTGGATGTTAGAATGATATACTAGTCAGGTTTTAGAATGTATATATTCATACTTATATACAAGAAAAATGCTCTCTTTATTCCCTCAACTTCTTCCTTTATCATCAACTGTTGACGAAGTGGAACTTTTCTGCATGATAGCATTTAGCATGATAAATGTAGCATATGATGCAATTTAGGGAATATTTAAATTAAATGAAAATGGTTATTGTTTTAAAACAGGTCATCTTTAACCTTAGAGAATTAGGTTGAAACAGTGTTTTCAGCCAAAGAGCAAGCATTAGCTTAAAGGTGGGGTATGTAATTTATTTCAGAAACACTTTTTGTTATCTCTTAACATCCCGATAGCAATGAATATATTAAGTGCTTTGACAATAAATACATAAAAAAATCTGTGGAAGCCGTGGCGCTGTAAAAAGTACGACCAATCATCTGAGCCGGCCCGGCTAAAATAACTGGATGGCCTACCTGCCTGTCAGCCTTCCATCTGTGCACAAACTTATCTCGTGCCCTCATTGGTCATGTGTGCGTCCGTGTGTGTTGGAGGAGGGGCTCTATATATATAATAAGGAAGTGGCAGATTTCTTCCGGTTGTGTACTTTCAAATTCTAGCGCACTCGAGCTGGTTTCTCCAAAATTACATACCCCACCTTTAATTTGCCGGCTAATGTAGTTGCAGCTTGTCTGTCTCTATTTAAATCAGGCATGCATTATTGAAAAAAATCAAATAATTTGTAAAGTGTATAATGTGAGAGGTAAATAAACATTATTTAAGTGGACATAAGAGCGTTATCATTCAAAATGCACTTGAAAGTTTAAGAAATAATACAATTACTGAACAATTCCAAGGACCAATATGGATATATAAACAGGCTTTATAAAAAGGTTACCTGAGGTAGTCAGCGTCTTATGAAGTTACCCTCTTTAATACACAGTGGTTTTCCAGAGGGAATGTTAAATGTCAGGCTACCTCTAACCTGGTCACAAGATGTTTTTTTTTCCTTCACTGGAGATCCTCTTTTAAATTGGAACTACTACAAAGACATCCCAAGTTGTAATTTCACTCACTGGTAAAAAAAAGGGGAGTCTCATGACCACCTAACTGCCCTAATTGTCCGATATAACAGTGCCAACTTTCCAAGGTCAATGAGACCTGTTTTCATCTTCAATCTCTTTGTCTCAAATCTGGTTAAAAAACAAGAGAAAGTTGTGGTGAAAGAAAAATTACACATCAACACAGAGATGAGAGCAAAAATAACTTGTGTGATGGATATTGTAATTAATCCATGTGTTTGAGAATAACTGGGAATAGTGAATCAGTTAAATTCATTATATAATTACCATCACACTTGGGGTAAATACGTTTTACTACAACAGTTGACATGAAGTGAATTATCATAACACTGACTGGACCGTAGTCTTGGCAACCAGTTGTGGATATGACAAATGAACTTGATTGACCCAGGTATATAAATGAAAGGATTTATTTATTAGATACGCCACATATTGATTTTAATACTGGGCTTAGTTGAATATTGTATATTGATTGGCCGATTTGGAAATTCAGCATTTTGCTCTGACGCTCTGATCAAGGGACCAGGTGCAGTCAGATCTATCCGCAGAAAGAACTTGGTAAATGTTACGTGAGTTTTAGCCAAATATCAAATTATTATTCCCCATCATTTGTAGTCATGATGATGAACTGTCGAAAAGAAAAAAAAGTAAAGAGGGCAAAGAAGATAGAGAGCTGGACGTCAGAGAAAGCAGCAGAAAAGAGTTTATGGAGAAGACAATGTGGACAACCTTGGACAGTTACAGAAAATCAGTGCTGCCGTCATTCTAAGTTTGTTGCTGTTGATGCAGTTCCAGCTTGCGAAAGGGATTCTTTTTTCTTAGAGGAAGCAATGCATTTGTTTAAATTAAGAAAATCACATTTAAATCAATATTTGTTATAAACCAGATAATGTCCTCATGTAACATTTGGGTCATCTGTGGATGGCAACCAAAAGTTTTACAAAAACTGCAGGAACCTAAGCCTATCCACTGGAGAATGAAACTAAATTGGTAAAGGGGCTTCAGGTCGAACAAATGTGTTCTCAGCACCGACTTTAAATCTCTTTCAGGCTTCAGTGCATTTTCAGGGATGTTCTCTTAATCGCTTCCGTGTAAAACTTTGACCTCAGCTGTTTACTGTAAAGCCCCTGGTGAGCGGAGATGAGACTTCATTGTGGTGTTTGATAAAAGACACTCCTGTTGAAAAGCCAGAAAACTGGACTAAATATCAGTTATGTCAATTATTTGTATGGCTAATACACCAATGCATACTCAACCTGAAAATATGATATCATACTCTGTGCTTAAGGTCATAATCATAAGTCATAATCAGTGCTTTCATGTGTCTTTAAATGCAAAGGTTTGTTCAAACACTCAAAGGGATAAGCTTCTTCCTACAGGGTAGAAGACAACTTTGAAACACATGCATAGTATCATGTTTCATAGCACATGTAATATGTAAGGTTGCTGTGGTTGTTGCCATATTATATATCAAAGTAAACACTAAGCGATCTATTAGCAGGGTAGCATAAATCTTCTCCTCTCATATTAAACAGTAATGGTCCCCGCAGCACAGGTGGTCCAGTGTTTGTGTTTGACCCCAGCCAAACCTGCCAGACTAAAGCAATTATAATATCTGGCAGGCAGCGTTGTGACCGGGGGTCTAGCCAGCTCTCTGATCAAATGATGAATGATGCAACACATTGTTAATGAGTGCAGACGGTCCAGAGGATTCCGCAGGTAATTGATTAATAGAGTCTTCAATCATCTGAAGCAGCCTACCATGACTTTTATCAAAGGCTTTACAGTTTTCACTTGGGCCTCTTTGAGTCAGGTGCCAGGGGGACAAGGTGACAAAATGTTGGAGGGGGGGGGATTCTGGGGAGAAGTTCCATGAAAAGATCCTATCATTCCCTTATGATATGATGTGACAGGTTTTTTTTTATATTTCTTTATAATTTTTCTTTGGTTTTATTTTTTACATTCTTCTTCACTCAATGGCCTTGGCTCATTTTCTGTGAAGAACATATTAGAACACATTCCCCCCCCCCCCCCCTCCTTACATTTACATTACATACAGGGTGTTCGGGTCCCGGGGGGCTAACAAAAGTGTGGAAATTGTAGGTCCTGTGCACCTGTCTGGGCCGTGTGTGTGTGTGTGGTGTGTGTGGTGTGTGTGTGTGTGTGTGTGTGTGTGTGTGTGTGTGTGTGTGTGTGTGTGTGTGTGTGTGTGTGTGTGTGTGTGTGTGTGTGTGTGTGTGTGTGTGTGTGTGTGTGTGTGTGTGTGTGTGTGTGTGTGTGTGTGTGTGTGTGTGTGTGTGTGTGTGTGTGTGTGAGAGATTTTGTGTTTCTGCCCCT